ATGTGGCTGGGTGTCATAAACAGTGGCGTTCTTGCATCTTCTCAATTTCTTTGCAAACTTGGACCACTGAACTTCTCCATTTTCTGTTTGACTCTGGGTTCAACTTTCCTTTCTTCTCCTATTCTTCATCCAGATGGGTAGCCAAAGGACAGCAATCAAAAGTAACCGTAAATTTTTCAGTGTTCCCTTTTAACTTCTCGTAATCCCGTTTCCCCTTTCAGCCTTGAAGTTATTTTTTTCTGGATTGTTTTCTATGGTGATGATGGTATCTGAGAACAGACACAATCGTCGAGGGAGATAGCTGAAACCCGAGCTGGGTTTTTTCCAACTAAAAGGGATTCTCATGTCGCTTTGGTCTTTCCTTTCTGCTTTACTACTATGCTGCTTGTGGACACAAATCACTCCATCGAATTTACCACACAAATGTCTCATTGTTCAGCGTACATTGTCATCAATCAAACCCCGTGTTCCCTGGATTACGTTTAGAGGGACTCGAAATTATGCACCTATTCAAAGCATCTGTGACCGTACAAACCCGCTGTTTCAGGATTGTTGTTCTATTAATCTCGCGGATATTGTAAACAAGGGTGATATTTTGGAATTGGAACGGATGCGCTATGAATGGCTCAAGCCACTGGCGAAAACCCTTTTGCATCATTCACTCTACTTGTACAGTACGTGAATTTCAACAGTGTGAATGATCGCACCTGTAGATTTCTTTACAGAAAGCTTGAACCTAACGATGATCGCACTGGATTCCAGTTTCCAAAACTCTTATGGATACAATTATCAAAAGAACAAAGATTTCTTCGTATGTTTCTTTGAAAACCTGGAAAGTTACATGCTCGGCAAACGACAAAACTTGTCAACTTTAGTGGATGATTTTTTTCACGAACTGCTCATACGCATTGTCAGGCTGTTGCTGTTTGCCAAATCGAGTCGTGATTTGGCCAAAGCTGATTGCGTTTCTTTGGAACTTGAAAAGCAAAATCCCTTTGATCGCATACCGGAGGGAATAAAAAGGATGGCAATACGTGCATTTCCCCCGGCCAGGATGACTGCAAACGCGTTGCTCGTCGGAAGCGAAGTTATATCCGCAATACTAAAAGAAGTAAGTTTAAATGTTTGAAAGTGTTAGCGTATCACCTTACGCCATACGCTAATACAGTTTTTAGTGATTCGTGATTATGCCAGTACATTATATACATATATATATATATATATATATATATGT